CTATGTATTGATGACGAGCTTTCGGAGCTTTCGAGCGGAGAAATCAATTTTGAAAAATGATGATTTTTTTTAAGTTTCTTACACGAGCCTATTTCTTTTGTTGATCACAATCGTCTTCTACTACTTACTTTACTACTACGTCTTTTACGTCTTTTACTGTGATTCCTTATCAAATATACGAAAATAATAGGATAACCTTATTTACATTAAAATTTTTAGAAAAAAATACAATGAGCTGACGAGCTTTCGGGAAGCAGTGCTTAAGAGATTGGCTTGGCTTAATGACTTGAGGCTTAAGGCTATCGGCTTATAGACATTTAATGTACTCAACTTTACTAACAAAAGTCAAAATCAAAAAGTCAAATTAAAGTCAATTCTACTTCTTATACCAAATAGTACATTAAATGCCAAAACCAGAGTGTATTTGAGGCAATTAGTGTCTTGCAAAGTGTCTTGCTACTTGCAAAGTCTACTTGCAAAACATTAAACAATCGATATCGATAACTATAGAATCGTGTCTACCGTGAATCACTCTTCTCATCATCTTTTCTTGCACCCAAATCCCATTTCCCCCATTTTCTGTCTACAAGATCTCATCTCTCGATTTGATCAAGTTTCATCTATCATTTCTTTTCCTTTCTTTTCTTTCTTTCTTTCCCTTGCTCTTCCTTTCTCTTCCTTGCTCTTCCTTTCTTTTCCTTTCCTTTCTCTTCCTTTCTCTTCCTTTCCTTTCCTTTCCTTTCTCTTCCTTTCTCTTCCTTTCCTTTCCTTTCCTTTCCTTTCCTTTCCTTTCTCTTCCTTTCTCTTCCTTTCTCTTCCTTTCTCTTCCTTTCTCTTCTCTCTCCTCTCCCCCCCCCCACCAATCGTTTCCTTTCACTTTGTGCTGATCTCCCACGCCACCCAACTATCAAAAAGATTTCCCTTCATCTACCGTATCTTCATTGATTGATTGATTGATGTTTTATAGATTTATTTTTTTTCTTTATTCTTTTATTTCTTTAGAATCTTGAAATGATAACTTTCTTCAGGTGATTTGCCGCCTTTCTGTCTCATCTCATACAGGCTATTCGATCTGCCGCTTTTTGAGGAAAGAAAATGAGGTTTGAAATCGGCAACTTATAGGGGATTTATACTTTAACTTATTAAAAGATGTAGTATACGGTCACTTACCGTAATCCTACCGTATTTACATTGTAATGCATTGAAAGCTACTGTAGTCTACCGTAGTCTACCGTAGCCGTATGTCATACCGTAACATACTGTTAGTGATAGGTTTTACAATAGCCTAGTATTATCGACGTATACCGTAATCCATTTTAAGCCATAACCTACTGTATTTCAGCCTTTCAGCCTCAGCCTAAGCCTAAGTCTAAGTCTAAGCCTAAGCCTCAGCCTCAGCCTCAGCCTAAGCCTAAGTCTAAGCCTAAGCCTGAAAACTTATACAGTAACCTATCGTAATTTTCAGTTTAAGCGACGCGGTTGCAACGGAGATCCCTGTGGGGACTCAGGTGATCGTTGAGGCCGAATTATTGACATCGGATGTCGATCACACGATTGAAGAGGTTCGACAGGCGAATCAGGTATTAGCAAAAGTATTAGCTAGCAAATTTTTCATCTATAAACATATCAGTTCTATAGAAGAGCCCTTTCAAAGCCGAGAAGAGCCCAAGCCGAACACTCAACCCAATATGCGCTTACTTTTAGCAGTCGGTTTAGACGGAAACTATTCCAGTCAATTAGCAAATAGGCTTAAATTCTAATATTCAAAACCTCTCCTTAATCTCTTCCTTATAGTGTCAAAAGTAGACAATAAGTGGCCCATGAAGACAGTGGCCCATGAATGTAAGACAGTGGCCCATGAATGTAAGACAGTGGCCCATGAATCATTCTTACAGTACTCTCCCAGAAATTCGAGAGCACACACCACCGGGAAAGTAAATCTTGTTGTTTTTTTAGTCTCTGTGCTGGGTGTTGGTCTTTAAAAGTATTCACATGATTCTTTGCTGAAAAATACGTAAAAAGGGGAGGGGTTTAGAGAAGCGGAGAGGGGTGGGCCTGGCCCAAGAGATCAGGGGCAATTCGTCCATTACTCAGAATTCAAAACTCATAAAACTATTAGATCTATTAGCTCTCGTCTATTAATAATCGATCTTCATCTATTAATAATAGATCTTTATCTATTAATAATCGATCTTCATCTATTAACAGATCTTTATCTATTATTTCCCCAAATGACCTGGATTCAGATGGTTCACAATGGGATTTCGGCGCCCGGTGGACCGATTGGGAAAGTGAACCGAACGCTTTTCTGCCGGAAATGCGAGGGACATGGGATGCAGGTTTGATTTAGATTTTAAATTTAGATTGATTTCATTAGATATCTTCTTTTATTATAGCTAATTTTCATATATAAAACTCTTTTTTTAAAATTTTATCTGATTTTAACATTTTGCCGTTTACCTGAACCTTCCAGCAAGGGATTTTTTGCCTAAATCTTTCTTCAATAGAATTTTCGAATACCTTAAATATCTAAAGATCTATCTAATAGTTAAAAATTACTGTATGAATCATTATATCTTTTGATTCAGATCTGGATTCTTCTGGACTCAGATCTGGATTCTTCTGGATTCAGATCTGGATTCTTTTGGACTCAGGTCTGGATTCTTCTGGATTCAGATCTGGATTCTTCTGGACTCAGGTCTGGATTCTTCTGGATTCAGATCTGGATTCTTCTGGACTCAGGTCTGGATTCTTCTGGATTCAGATCTGGATTCTTCTGGACTCAGGTCTGGATTCTTCTGGATTCAGATCTGGATTCTTTTGGACTCAGGTCTGGATTCTTCTGGATCCATCTCTGGATTCTATCTGGATTCAGAACTGGATTCTTTTGGACTCAGATCTGGATCCATCTCTGGATTCTATCTGAATTCAGATCTGGATTCTTCTAGCTTCAGATCTGGGTTCTTCTGGACTCAGATCTGGATTCAAATCTGGATCCATCTGGATTCAGATCTGGGTCCATCTCTGGATTCTATCTGGATTCAGATCTGGATTCTATCTGGATCCTTACTTCATAACTTACTTATCAAAGGTCCAATTCCTTTCATAAAGCTTATTACCCTAAAATTGATTACCTTCAAAAGTATACTGTAATCATATTAAAACTTTGTTACCTAACAGTAATCTTTAACTTTTCCCTTATATAATAACCTTGTATCTAAGCGAGTTATCTCTAGCCATCTCTCATTGTGAGGACAGCCATCTACAGTAAACTTTCTTCCTAATTAAAGCTAAAAAAATGATGATTTTCTCTTTCTCCTTATCCTAATAATATCTAAATTTTATCTATAAGAGTTTTTGATGCAAATTGAGGATTTAAAAACTTCAGGTTGTGCTCAAGGGTCACGCCTCGAAGTGTCCATTCAACAATTGCACCTGCAAAACGGTAAGTGAACATTTCAATTAGCATTTAAAGAAAGCAAATTAACATTTAAACATTTCAATTAGCATTTTAAAAGAACTTTAAAAGAACAGATAGAACATCTTTGCTGTCTAAAGCTGTCTAAAGCTGTCTAAAGCTGTCTAAAGCTGTCTAGAAGCGTCTTACCACTCACCCAATGGAAACTATCATTTCTGAATTTAACATTTAACATTTAACAAAGTGAAACACATTCTAAACCCAACATTTCCTTTTCATAACCCTCATATAACAGAGTTGCACAGATTACAGGCAAAGAGGCAAAAGATGAACAGAGACAATTCTTCGACCACTCCATCTTCATCATCGCTTCACAATTTTTAGTGCGCAAATGTGATGTCGATGCGCGCGAACGCGATCATCCGACGCTACAGACAGCGCACGAACGAGTGCGGTTTGGTGCTGAAACCTGTGCACTTTCGAAACGGGAACACACGACTCAGGGTTTTCCCGAAGTTCATCGATGGTAGGCTTTACAAAATTGACTTGTCAATGAATTGGAAATTAAGTTGTTAGAAAAAGATAAGCCTTTTTGCTTTCTAGACAAGTTCGAGGTTAAAGGTTTTGGTCCTTTTCAAAAAAGGAATTAAAGAGGTCGGTGCTGGGACTCGAACCCGAGGCCTCTGGCGGTCGAGACTGCGTGCCAAGCGAACTCTCAACCAATGAGCTACACCGAGATATTTCCCAGACGCCAAGGGAGGGCTTTATCCCCTATACCAGAAGATTGAAGGAGACTATTCAGGTTAAAGGTTAAAGGTTTTGGTCCTTTCAAAAGGCAATCCAAAAGGTCGGCACCGGGACTCGAACCCGAGACCTCTCGCAGTCGAGACCACCTGCCAGCCGAACCCTCTACCAATGAGCCACACCGAGATATCTTCCAGCCGCCAAGGGAGGGCTTCATCCCTTATACCAGAGACTATTCAAGCTTTAGCTAGAGCACAAATTGAACTAAACTTAAGTAGGGTAAATCTAGCTTCAATAGTCAACTGGATTACTGTAGAAACGGTAAATCTAGTAGGGTAAATCTAGCTACAGTCAACTGGATTACTGTACTGTACTTGTAGAACGAGACGCGCTCCCGATCCCACTCGATCGTCGCCAACAAGGCCTTGATTTGGAGGGGATTCGAGTGACACCACCGAGGGGACAAGAGTCCGGCGCATCCACTCCACCATCAGCCACTCTACCCACGCATCCACTACCAAATCACACAAAGAGAAGTCTTTCCGAGGTAGACTCAAATTTCAATCAATTCATTTTGACATCATTTTTTTCAAAAATGATGATTCTTGATTTCGAGACTAGTTTTCTTTACATCAATTTCTATTTCAGTGAATCGAATTTTTCTTGTTTACTCAGGCGATTTCAATGAAAATTCGAGAAATGTTCCACATTTCACTAGAATCAAAGAAACAAAGCTTTTTATTTGAAATGATGTCAAACAATAGTCTCTTTTCATTCGATTCCGTTTCAGGAAGTCGAACTCCACTCTTCTCCCAAACGATCTCATTCCGGTGATGACATGGTCGGTTTGGCGAACGTCTCGCATCCGATCCCAGAAACGTCGAACAATGTGAATGGGACGACGAATTTTTATGATATATTACTAGGTGGGTAGAGTGGAAGAGAAGAAAGGAAGAAGGGAAGAAGGGAAGAAGGGAAGAAGGGAAGAAGGGAAGAAGGGAAGAAGGGAAGAAGGGAAGAAGGGAAGAAGGGAAGAAGGGAAGAAGGAAGAAGAGAAGAAGGGAAGAAGGGAAGAAGGAAGAAGGGAAGAAGGGAAGAAGGGAAGAAGCTGAACTGTTGGACTGTCCTTTTATGGGTTGGGTTGGGAATACAAAACTTGGTGGGCGCCGGGATTCGAACCGGCGACCTCTCGCTTATCGGACGGACACTATTAATGAGCTACATTGACACGTATTCCATTACCAGGGGAGGGCCTTATGCCTTACCGAATAGTTTTGAACCTAACAAGTTACTGCATATTGCTTTGTTTGTAAAGTTGCAGAAGTTGAAGACGAATTTTGTACACAGACAGCTGTTGGGTTACTGTAACTAGCCCGCTTTACTGTATCTTGCTATTTAGAGTAACCCAAACACGATAATTCTACTCCCATAGCGGTTTCAGTAATCCATCCAGTTACAGTAATCCATCCAGTTACAGTAGTCCAGCCAGTTACAGTAGTCCAGCCAGTTACAGTAGTCCAGCCAGTTACAGTAATCCATCCAGTTACAGTAGTCCAGCCAGTTACAGTAGTTCAGCCAGTTACAGTAATCCCTCCATCTCTTCAGCATTCAGCTTCAGCATATTCATACAAAAACCCATAACAGTTACAGTAATCCCCACAACAACAGTGTGCTTTAGTATATAATCTTTCAATTACAGGAAACGCCAAGCAACCGGAAACCCCATTGGATGGAATATGGCCAAGTGGAGTGCTCGGACCGATCGGGCGCTCCTCAGCCGATCTCGACTCTCCACCCATCATCACCTCTTCACAAAACTTTGCCGCTTTCTCAGGTAGTTTTTTAAATATCTATAAACATCTATAAACATCGATAAATATCTAAATATCACTATAAATTCATCAAAAAAAATAAGCAAATATCCATAAATCTGTTATCAAAGAAAGTGAAAGGCAGAATGCCTCACTGAAGTTGTCAAAGTCTTTAAATCAACCCTATCTTTTAAATTTACACTTTAAAAAAAATGTCCTTCTGTCTCTAGGTACTGTTATAATTTATCTATGCAATTCATTTATGCAAATTTCTACAGGACTAAATCTCTCGCTGCTCTCCGCACTCCCCTCCTCGCTTCTCGCCAATTGTATCTCTTTGCAAAACTCGACGATTGGACACTCATTTGTCTCGAATGGAACAACGTATACACAGGTTGAAATAAACTCTAATCTAATTCAGATTTCAGATTCAAGTTTTAAACTTTACTCTAAGCTTTTACTCTAAAGCTTTCCAGGCTAACAACTCCTACTCACCATACTTGGAGCAAAGCAACGGCTCGGCCACTGCAAGCGCTTTCCATGTAAACAAATCTAAACTAAACTAATAACTAAACTATTAACTAGTTAATGAAAGAGTAGTTAAACTTAAAGCTACAGTACTCAAGTACTGTAACTTTAAGTTATAATACAAGTTCTAGCAGAATGTAAACGTGAGACTTAAAGAGTGAGAATTCAGCTACAATGCTTAGAGTTAGAGTTTGATTACCGGTTGTTAACTGTAGGGATTACTGTAACTGTTATGGGTTTTTGTATGAATATGCTAAACATAACTTGTTTATTATTAAGATATAGATAGAGTTATTAGATTCCTTTTTATCTCTTAACAATTCAAATTTCAGAGTCTCACTGATCACTCGTTTTTGTCGAAGCCGTTGACTGGGTTGACGATTGTCCCGCCAAATGAGGAGGCAAATTTGCCCACCCAAACACTCACTCCAAATAATATCATCAACAATCGTGGGTTTAGAGTTTAGAAATTGGTTTTAGGGATTCGAGATTAGAGATTAGAGATTAGAGATTAGATTTTAAGCACTAATAAGTAAAATACCTTCAAATCAAAGCTAAGCTTCGATTCTTTTCTGTAAGTAGATCTTTTCAAAGCTTTAGTTATTAGTTATTAGTTAGTTATTCAAAGTTATTAGTTAAACACTAATAAGTTAAGTAAGTAAGTAAGTAAACCTTCAAATCAAAGCTAAGCTTCGATTCGAGACATTTTTCTTTTCTGTAAATAGATCTTTTCAAAGCTTTAACCTTTCCTAAACTCTAAAAAAACTACCGTAATCCTTTGCCTTTTACTTTTACTTAGGACACAAAGATTACTTTTAATTTCCAGGTCAAATCGAGAAAGAAAACGACACGATGGGTGCCGCTGAGCCATTCACGCGAAGTCTCTGGATCGCGCCAGGCGCCGATCGATCGCATCCACTTTGGCAACAATTCCTCAACACTGTCAAAGAGTTAGAGAAGAATATGCTAGCTGATTTATCGCTTCAATCGACTCGCTGATTCGCTCGCTTCAATCAAACGCATTATTCCCCGCAACACTAGGGGTAACACTAGGTTTTTTTTTCAATTTACCATACTGTAGTAGCTTGAGAGAAATTTTTGAAATCGTAGATTTTGTTTGAATGTTAATCGGCTATTGTAATCGCCTATTGATAATCGCCTATTGTAATCGGCTATTGTAATCGGCTATTGTAATCGGCTATTGTAATCCTACTTCGGATTACCGTACTCTAAAAGTCTGTGTGCCTGGATTGATGGTTAAAGTTATTTCAAAGTTATTCAGTATCAAAACAGTACTAAAGGGTCAAGCAAAGTTAAAGTTAGTTCATTTTGTTTACGTCTATCTTATAGCTTTTTTAATTCCACTTATAAACTAACGTACTCTCTTCCAAAATAATAGATTCGGGTTTATTTTTAACCGTTTTTGAAATCTTTTTCACCTTTTTTAACCCATTTTTGAACAATTTTAAACGATTTTAAATGATTTTAAACAATTTTAAACGATTTTAAACGATTTTAAACAATTTTAAACAATTTTAAACGATTTAAAAGATTTAAAACTAGATTTTAAACGAGTTTGACCTTTTAAACTTTTGAACAATTTTAAACTTTTGAAAATTTTAACCATTTTGAAATTTTAAAGACCTTTTTAAACAATTTTAAACACTTTTAGACCTTTTTAAGCCATTTTTGAACAATTTTAAACGATTTTAAACGATTTTAAACAATTTTAAACCATTTTTGAACAATTTTAAACCTTTTAAAACTATTTAAAACCATTTTGGACCTTTTCAAAACCCTTTTTACACGATTTTTAAACAATTTTAAACGGTTTTTAGACAATTTTAAACCATTTTAAACCCTTTCAAGACCTTTTTTTCATCCAAACTCTTCAAACAGATCGTTTTCCTTTTGTTCTTGATGTTAGAATTTTGAAATTCATCTTCATTCTTTTCTTTTTCTTTATCCACTTTGCCATTTTTGTACCTCATTTCTGAAAATGAATTTTTTCTGAAAAACAGCTAACAGATTCCGAAAATTTCCTTATAAACTTTGTCTTTTCTTTTCTTTTACTTTGTTGTACTTTGTGCTGAAAATCGTAACGCAAACTTTCTGGAGAAAAGAGCACAAAGTACACGAATTCCCTAATCGTTTTCCATTTTTTTGAAATCTCGATCTCATTTGCAAAAAGAAAAGATAAAAGAAGAAATTTCAAAAAAAAAAATTTCATTTTTATAACTCGTCAATTCTCAGGCTTTTTTCTAGAAAATTTGCTAATTTTCGCAACTTTTTTTTACGCAACTCGCCATAATTTTCTTCTAAGTGGATCAATCTTTATGTTTTCGATTTCATTTTGTAGATCTCAATAAGTGCAACAAAATGACACCAAAATCATAAAGATTGACCGAGAAGAGGCCTATCGAAAGACCAGCAACAAGGTCCACCTCGTTGCTGGTGCACAAGGGTGGCAGCGTCGGTCAGAGGGAAGGATGAGTGCACCAGCACAAGCAAATCTCGGCACCACTTTATGTTTTGGATTTCATTTTGTAGATCTCAATAAGTGCAACAAAATGAAACCAAAATCATAAAGATTGACCGAGAAGAGGCCTATCGAAAGACCAGCAACAAGGTCCACCTCGCTGGTGCACAAGGGTGGCAGCGTCGGTCAGAGAAAGTGCAACCACCGCCAGCACAAGCAAGTCTCGCTCAATCTTTATTCTTTTAATGTCATTTTCTAGATCTCAATAAGTGCAACAAAATGAAACCAAAATCATAAAGATTAGCCCATTTAGAAGAAAGTTATGGCGAGTTGCGCAAAAGAGAAAATTGCGGAAATTACTTTACCCCAAATTTCCCCTACTTTTGGCCAATTTCGGGTGCTTTTTTTTCGATTTTCCTTCAATTGAATATCATTTCTTTATCTAAACGGCCGGTATTTAAAAAAGATTTTTATTTTATTTCATTTTTTTTCCCCCTTTCCTCTCAACTATTTTGTGATTTTTCTTATTCACTCTTTACTTTTTTTTTTATTTTCTAATTACTTGTAACTTTGTGTTTTTTTTTCTTTTTTTCTTTTTTTTTTTTCTATATTTTTATTGTGATATTTAGTCAGAAGATTGATTGTTTTCTTGAAAGAAATAAAATTTCAAAGTCATTTTTTTGCTTTAGCTTTAGCAAATATTACAATATGCAACTCAAACTACTTTCTGGAATCTATTCAAAGCTTAAACGAAAAGCAAAACGATTGGGTAAGGGTTTCTTTGAAAGGCTCGGTCTTAGATTGGCTGAGATTGGCTTCATATTTGGTTTTAAGTTTTCCTTTTATATTTGCATTTCGGTTTTGCTTTTGTATTTGCTTTAAGAAATTTCTTTTCTTGGAACATTTATACTTCTATTGGTTTGGTGGAAAAGTCCTTTCGCATTTTTTGGGAGAGTACCTTAGATTTGTCGAATTTTGACGTTTTATAGCTCATCCTAAAGCTGAATTCGAGACGCATCGATTCAAGACGGGTTATTTTTGACGCTGATCACGAAACACATGTTTTTAGCCTAGATTTCTGCACGGAAAACTAACGAAACGTGAAAACAGCGATTTTTTAGCTCTGCCGCCTTTTACTAAAATAGCTGTAAAAACTTTTAGAAAAGAGATATCTCAAAACGGTTTTTACCAATCGATCCGTCTTGAATTCAGCTTTAGGATGAGCTATAAAACGTCAAAATTCGACAAATTTAAGGTACTCTCCCAAAAAATCGGAAAGCACTTTTTCATCAACCCAATACAATTCTATTTTATTTAAAACACATAAAAGCTTTATTTTAAAGCAAAGTTTAAAGACAAAAAGATGTTAATTATTGCAAAAAAAAAGATATTCAATCAATAAAATGATTCAAAAGCAATGAACAATGACCTAGAGAGAAGAGCGAAAAAGAAACGCAAACACAAGGCTTCTAGCGCATGACTGTGAAGCTCTTAAACTAGCCAGACTGGGAAAGAAAAAGCAAAACTTTACATATTATTGATCTGGTATTAAATTTAGAATATACTACATATATTTTAGTCTAGAATTCTAACAAAAACATCTGTCTATCGCTTTTTGAAGGGAAATTTGAGGTTTTTCGTCTTTTTCTCAGCATCAACCACTTCTATTTTGTCTATTTTGAAGATCATTTGATTCAGAATCAAATTGCGCATCGAATGATACCAAAAACAACTCAAAATAGAATCTCCACGCAAAGTTATTGGCGAAAAATCTAAACTTCGCCTATTCTGGACGGGACTTAACACATTTTCCCTCATAACTTTGCATGGATATTAGATTTTGAGTTGGTTTTGATATCATTCGATGCGCAATTTTATTCTGAATCAAATGATAGTCAAAATATTCAAAAATAAAAGGTTGATGCTGAGAAAAAGACGAAAAACCTCTAAAAGCGATAGACAGATGTTTTTGTTAGAATTCTACATAGTCTACCTTATCACTTCACTCGAGACACTAGAATCTGTCCTTTCTACAGTAAACCGTATAGTTTCCTTTGTTTATAGTAGATGCTACGCCAAATGCCTTGCGTTACGAAACATTTGAATTCTACGTAAATCAAGGAATAACTGGAGGCTGATTGGCTGCTAGATAATTGCGGAATTTCTCTAGCTCACACCGAAGAACGTGGATCTCCATTCGGAGTTGCTGATTCTCGTACATTAGATGGTCCAAGCTGTAAAGAAATTGAATTCTTTTAGAAGCCGAAGATCGATCGTACTTTAAAATGTAAACACACCCTTTCTAGTGTACTCGCTATCAGCAAGAAAATGACTAATTAAGGCTCCAAAGATCCGAAGCTCCAAAACTCCAAAGCTCCAAAACTCCAAAGCACCAAAGCACCAAAGCTCCAAAGCTCCAAAGCACCAAAGCTCTAAAGCTTCAAAGCTCTAAAGCTCCAAAGCTCCAAATCTCCAAAGCTCCAAAGCTCCAAAGCTCTAGCACAAAGTCCAAAGCTCCATAGCTCCAAAGCATTCAGTTCGCTAGAAAGTGTGCGTTTAAAGCTCTAGCACAAAGTACACTATGGCTGATGGGTTTGCTTGATTTCAGTTGTATAAAGAAGTCGAATTTGCCTTTTTATTTGCGTTTTTGAACTAGAAATTAGATGAATAGCGTGCCAGAAAGTGTGTGTGTTTGCAATTTTAGCATAAAGTACAAGAATTCGATAACCCACCGCCTCTTATTGACATCTTCGGCTTGTCTCCGTTGTTCTCTTGACCTCTTCGCACTGTCATTGTTCCGTCTTCGGCGTTCCCGATATGCATAAAATTGAAATGGTTTAGTTACAGTACTTAGTTAGAGTACTTAGTTAGAGTACTTAGTTACAGTACTTAGTTACAGTACTTAGTTACAGTACTTAGTTACAGTACTCATAAGATAGCTAGACATGTTTAGAATTTCAGAATTCTATTCTCTAGATTCTACGCAATTTGCCAACAATAAGCTGGATAATTAGTGAGTTGATAGAGCTTTCGTCATTGCTTCTTTAATAAAATAGAAATCATTTATCTACCTCATCTTTTGACTCCTCGGGAATTGGGATCGGCTTCTTTCTTCTACTTGACGGAGTCGGGGAGAGTTCGGGATTAGAGCGACTTGGGGTGAAGCCTAATTGTTGAGCCGCTGAGAGTTGTTGAGCGAAATGGTTGAGGGGAAAAGGCATCGTTGTTCCCTAAATTTATCATCTATTCTTAGTCAATAAATAGTTGTTAGAAATGGCTTTGTAAAACGATTTCTTATCGAAGCTAGTTCACTAAAGACGTTTAAAGAGGTGTACTTTTGTTCAATTGTTCTCAAAAAGCTTAACTTGAGGTTTACTGTCATTTAAGAAATGTCTTGCTGATTATAAACTATAAATAACTTGCTGATCTAGAGGATATCGAAATTCTAGCCTCTCCTATTGATTAATGTAGTTTAGATGAGTTAAAGGACAAATCTAGAATAATTTGAAAGTTCTATGACACAGTTACCCATTGACTGATGTATTAGGTTGATGCATAAGTGTTTTTGTTCCTTTTCGTCTGCCGTTTCAAGCCAACAAATGCACGAATTAAACTACGGTTGATTTCATTAGAAAAAGCAATTATTTTTCTGCAAAATAACATTAAAACGGGTTTAAAAATATTGAATGCCTGGATTTTCTTGAGAGTATGAAGTCGGGTAGTCAAAAAGGGCTAACTCGATGATGCGGTTTAGACACCTTAGCTAAAGAAAACCTATTTTCGTGTCAATAGATAAAAGATAGAGAAAAAAAACGTTTGATATTTCGTCAAAATTTCAGAGAAATTCATTCAGCCGATTTTTCCGTAGAGTTTTTTATAGATTTTTACGAAAAAGGCGTTTTTCACTCTCGAATTTGCTTCAAAGTGAACCGAAATTCATTTAAAAAGATGCAAATTGAACAAAAAAACACTTTTTTTATAGAGCAAACTATAGATTAATTCGTGAATTTGTTACTTTTTAACAGAAGTACGAAAAAAACGAAAAGACTTATGCATCAACCTATTAGTTTAGATGAGTTAAAGGACAAGTCTAGAGAATTTGAAAGTTCTATGCCACAGCTACCTATTGACTAATGCTTGATTCGACTAAACAATGAAATTGGGTTTGTTTTTTTGAGTTTTCTGACTGATACTTTTGAGTTTAAACTAATAAAAGTTCAGTTTCGAGTCCTCCATAAATTTTCTTCTTTAGGAACACTCACCGGATCGACTTTTGACGTAGCCGCATAGCCGGGATGACACTGCTCAAGGCCCCACATCGACATCGCGTTCATCGCCTAGGAAAATTGTCTAGAAATTTTGTAAATCTATTTGTAAATTCATGACTAGATCTTTTCGTTTATTAATTTCATTTCTTTAAAACCAAAACCTTTAACGCATGCTGCTGAGCGGTTGGATCGCAAAATGCGGTGGTGCCCATCTGATCCGGCCACATCATCCGGGCACATCGATTTATAGGAATCTCGGCAATCAAATAATAAAGCTAAAATTTTATAATTAGATTCAAAATGACTTAAAAATGACTTCAAAATGAAACTCCGTTAATTTAAAAGATCGTTAGATTTCAGACTCACAATAAATCAAAGTAGAATCAAACCAAAATTTAAACAATCATCAAGTGAAATAGACGAAAAGAAAAAGGACTAAAGAAAAGGAAACTAAAAATTAACTCCAGAGACTCAAATGCACAATCCTCAGTCGATTGTACGCTTGTGAGTCCAGTAAGTTACCGTATCCAGCTAGAATAACTAAAAACACTAGTACTGGATAACAAAGGTACAGAAATGTACACGGATTGAAGCTAAAAAAGCCCAGAAAACAATCTGTTTACAATCCTCGATCAAATAACAAATAACAAACAAATTTGGACTTAATTAGTATTGTCTAGTTAAGTCAACTAACAAATTTGGTCTAGTAAAAGCTAAAAGTTACCGTAACAGGATACGATAACTAGTAGTGGCTAAGAGTTAACAGTGGCTAAGAGTTAACAGTGGCTAACAGCAGTTAACAGTGGCTAACAGTTAACAGTGGCTAACAGTTAACAGTGGCTAGCAAAAGGTACTGTAATGAGAAGTAGAATAAATAGAATAAGGCTAAGCAACGAACAAAGAAATGTCAAGCAATGAACAAAGAAACAGTCAACTTCAGTTAATAAAGTTTGAAAATTCAAAAATCGGCATTACATAAGTGAATGCATAATGATGATTTGGGAACCCAAGCCCAGTTCGGGGTGGCGCAACAACGATAATGTGCAAATGGTCTGCGAGAGCCCCTCCCTATATTTGATCAAAGAAATGATTTTCCTTTGATGTACACAAGTGAGCCGAGATATGGCAAAGGTACTGTAAAGAGATCAAAAAGGGAAACAGAGTGGCGTAATTTTTCTTTCTCCTTTTATTCCTTTCAAATCTTTTAAATATTTCAAATTTTGGAATGAAATAACTATCTTTTATTGTAATTTTGAACTATTTTATCTATTTTCTACTATTTTCTACTATTTTCTACTATTTTCTACTATTTTCTACTATTTTCTACTATTTTATAATATATTTTATTGTAAGCACACCAAAATGAAAGCCTTACGGTAAATTAAGTCATGATAAAATTACTTTAAATCTTTACTATACTTTAAATCATAGTACTCACTATTCAAGCGATTAGTTCAGCCTGATTTCAGAGATTTTGTCTAAAATCTGTTTTCAATCACCTTTTTTGATAGCTAAACGGTTACAGGATAGAGGTAACAGTAGCTAAATTGTTATCAAAATGCTTTTTACGGTAGTTTTAGAAAGTTTGAAAAGACATTAGTCAAGAGCATACCTCTAGGCAACTAACTTCAAAACATTATTTTTTTTCCCAGTTTGAAACTTCTTGTCCATTTCTCAAACCATATCTTTTCCGATTTACGGAAATCCAAACTCTTTTGCCCCTTTCTATGGCGGCTCGGTGACCTGAGAGTGTCGGGGACTCGTTGCGCCATTCGCTTCAAAGGATCCCCTCCTTCCCATCCAAGCATCTTGAAAATGAAAAGAGCAAATGATTGTCCCGATCACACAAATGCAGATGGTCTTGTTTGGAGGGATTTGAAGGGTCACTTTTGAAAATATAATCAAACCTCTAAACCATAGTTTCTTCAAATGTTCAAACAAAGTTTATGAAACTTTTCAATGAAAATGCTTGCTTTAAACCAAATTGATCTTTTAGGCTATTAAAACCAATCATTTTCGATCTAGACACTGTCTCACCCACCAGATATCCAATGGCAAAGTAGCGGAAATCATTTTAAGGTTAGGGGTTGTAAATTGGTCAACTGAAAAGGATGAGCCGATAGATATTACGACAATCGTTGTTCAACAGGTGACCTGAGAACATTAGAACTCTTATTAACAGGTTGCCGATTTATTGGCTGTACACTTTCTTCAGGTCAACCAGTCCGTTTGGCCAGATAGATTGTTGAAGGGAAACTAACGCAAACCGTCAAAGCTCAATACCAATCAAGTTTACCAATCACATCTTTTGTGTTAATTTCATCTAAATTTCCATGCATGAGAGCGGTAACGCTCCCCCTCCCCCATTTGCGATTGGCCAATTTTTCAAATAGATAAATAGTTTATTAGGCTTTCAAACTCTCATAAGAAATATGGACAATATGGCAAGTACTAATTAAAAGTAGTCAATTTAGTGAACGGATTTCTGAGAAAATGTATAAATTTAAATGAAATTTGAAAATGACAACAATAGTTTGCACATGTGAAGTTAAAACATGAACGGCATTTACTTGTCTTTCGACGCTTCACAGTTGTCCGAGTTTTGGAAGTCGCTCTCTGAGAACCTGAAAACAACACTTTATAAAATGTAGGTTCACTGCTAATAACGTAATTTGATGAAAAACCCCGTGGCAAATTTTTTGACGTTTATACGCCTTACTTAATTGAGATAGATGGCTATTTAATTTCGTAAATCATTAATATCACTGAAAAATGGAACAAAAACTTGGCAATGTTAGTAATATCAAAAGCCAACGTTTATCTGTTAATTAAAATATTAAGCCCAACACGAAAAAACTTACAACAAATCGGGCTTTTTCTTCATGAATAATTGTTGCTGCATCGTCTTCGCTTTGTTAGTTGGAGTGCCCTGGGAGTTCTCGTCGGTGCCGGCTTTCGGTGTGCTGAAATATTTCATTAATCTTTTAGAAAAAAAAAACTGGTTCAAAAAAGAAATTTCAACAAACCCAACCAATTCACGGTGATTGGGGTCCTCGAAATTCCTACGTTGGGCGAACGGGGATCAATGTCCAACACACGGCATTTTCCTTAAAAGAAAGCATCATATTTCTAACGTTTAAGAATTTTAAAGAATCTTAAAAAGTTAAAAGATTAAAAAGTATTTTTATGAAGCAACAAAAACTACCTTTAGGTGTGGAGGTGCCTTCATCGTTCAATTCCGTTGTCGCCTCTCCGCTGAACTTCGAAAAAGCATAGCCCATTTTATCTGAAAATTAAAAAATAAAAACTTATAAAACATAAAAAGTTTAAAAAAAAGATTGAACGGCTGATAAACCGCAAGAGTGTTTATTTTCCTTCGATACGCGGTGCGATAGGACGTAATTCGGCAAGCTGTGGAAAAAGAGGGAAATCTCACAAAAGAAGGAGGTTTTGCAAGGTTACAAGGAGAAAATACAAGGTTTCCGTCTACGAAGCAGATTTTTGGAAAAAATGCTACTGAAACAGTTTTAACGTGGCTCTGGTCAATGCCTATAATGCTCCAGAAGTTAAAAATGCACAAATATAGTCTCAGCAAGTAATAAAACGGTTGAAAATGAACAAGTCAGATGAGAGAAACAACCAAACAGAATGAATCTACAAACTCAGTTGAATGAAGAGGATATTTCGACGGTACAGTAACAAGTAATAAATAAGCTTACTTAATATATCTTCAGTTGGGTTTTTCTTCATTCGAACGAAACCTTTGTCGGTGCGTAAACGCAAAAGGGTTGCTAAACTTGTGAAAATGATGGGAGTGGGACAAATGCGACCTTTTTTTTTGCGCACCCGGACATTTGCGCACCTTTTTTTCCGCACTTAGCCCATTAGCGCACCTTTTTTCGCGTTTTAAAAAGCTCTAAAAGCTAATATTAACCAATTTCTATTCCAAAAGTTGTTTTTCTAGGTAATTTGAGGGTGTCGAATTCAAATTTTGACATAACAGAGCGTGTGGAACCAATTTTAAAGACAAAACGGCTAGGTCAAATTACAGAAAATTGTTGATCTTTCTCTTTGTATAACTCCGTCCGTTTGTTTCCACAAGCTCTGATATGTCAAAATTTCGTTTCTACGCCCTAAAATTACCTAGAAAAACAACTTTTAGAATAGAAATTGGTTAATATTAGCTTTTAGAGCTTTTTTAAAACGCGAAAAAAGGTGCGCTAATGGGCTAAGTGCGGAAAAAAAGGTGCGCAAATGTCCGGGTGCGCAAAAAAAAAAAAGTCGCATTTGTCCCACTCCCGAAAATGATATAAAACTTCTTAAACGGTGATAACTTTTGGCACTTTGGTGGTTGGGAGGGGCCACTTTTGGCTTACTTAGTCGAAACTAGTGTTTTGAGCGGTTTGTGTCGATACTTCTCTTCTATTCTGAAGCGATTGGCGCTAATTTAAGCAGGTTTTTGATAATCCTATTCGATGATTTACCCTGTGTCCTAGCTTGCTGTACTTTAACCACCGAACGTCATCTCAAAGCTGCAATACTAACTTAAAACATGTTGGAAATACTCTAAAATTAGCACCAATCGCTTCAGCATATATAATTGCCCCGAAATAGAAGAAAGTATCGACACGAACCGCTCAAAACACTAGATTCGACGAAGCGAAGCCAAAAGTGATCCCTCCTAACCACCAAAGCACCTAACTTTTAAATATTAGGCGCCTTACCTGGAATCATAGCAATCATTTTACCTTTTATCAGTTTACATTTCGTTTTCTATTTTAAGTTCCTCTAGGTCGGCTATATAGATGTTTATCTAACTTTAGATCATGTCTCGATCGTTGAATTTTTTCGAAAAGATGGCCCTCAACTTTGGAGTAATTTATCGTCACCAAGCAAATCAATTTCCCCGCCGCTTCGGAACACTTAAAGAGGTAACCGTTTTGTTTTGATAAAGCAACTATGATTCAGCTTACAATTCTTTTAATCCGAGGTTAAGTTTGAGCATAATTTAAAACATTAATGTGTGACGGTGATATTTCATTTGTTTAGTATTCATTTTAGGTATGGGCCAAAGAATTACGACCACCCACTAGCTCTGACCTTCCAAAAATCAAGGTTTGCTTTGAAAAAACCACTTTTGTCTATCATTCATTTTATTTAGAGCGAGTGGCAAAAGCTCTGCAAAGACGTTCAAAGTCAAACCTACAAAAATTTTACTGTTCGAGAGCTCCTTGTTTCGGTGGCCGTGGGTATGGAGGTTCGTTTTTTTAATTTTAAATTTGGAAAATTCGGCATGCCCTTTGTGTCATTTAAAAATTTATTCTTTAGATCTGTGCTTGGTTCTTTGTTGGAGAAATGATTGGTCGGCGCAATATTGTCGGATACTTGGTCCCGGCCGATTACATCAGCAAGGATACCAGGAAGAAAGCCAAGGCAGCCGAAAATGAAAAACCCCGAGTTATCTGAAAATATGATGCTTTCTCTTTATATTCGATTGCTACATGGAATTTCAGTGCTTATTGTAATCTTTGAACATGTGAAAGTATAAAGCTTTTATAGAAACTTTAATAATTTCTGAATTTTCTGTGCAATAGTTTTATACTTATTCGGTACATTCTAGAGTGGTCGAGCTATTTTCAACTCGGGTTAACAAAATTTTCTTGATGATGATGAAATCGGACGGTATGTTGGCCTTGCTGCCGCCATTCTTCGATTTTGTTGACATTTTCAATTGTGTGATCACGAATGCAATTCTCGCCTTCTTCATGTGTTTGGCAATGATCTTCCAAAACTTCGGTCACCCAATGAAGTGTATTGTGGCGGGGAAGCCTGGTAAATTGTTACATTAATGACTTTTTAATCTTTTAACTTTAGCTATCTGGCAAGGATTCTACAATGAGTATTGCTTTACCCAAGGAAGATTTCAAATTGTGGATGATGCATCAAACAGCCCGAATGCTTTCGTCCCCGTTGGATTTGCAGACTTCTTCGTCCGGAACTTTCAAGTAAAGATTTATTTTGATGTTTGTTAATCATCGTTTGGTTTAGTGGATGCCTTACTTGTTCATTCTTCAACTGGTTCTCTTCGCAATTCCAAAATGTGCATGGACAGCTTTTGCTTTATCATTCAAAAATGGTAAGAAACGTGTGTTCTTCTAGTTTATTAAAAGCGTTGTTTAAGTTAATCAAACCGTCTCGGCGATTTCACAGGCTCGTTGCATAAAATCATTGAAAGGTGAAGAAAGAATGAAAGAAGTTGAAGCAATTTGCGAGTTTTTGCTGCGCAGTCTTGGATCTCCACAAGAAAGGTGGTTTTGGTTGATGGTTTATTGAATCGCAATTTGTTATTTTTAGACGACGCTGCTTACAAGGTCAACTAGCGGTACTTCTGTATGTCGTTCAAAAATGGCTCCAAGTGTTGAACCTGATTGCTCAATTTGGAATCTGCATGTTTCTGGTTGATAGCACTTCAATCTTCTGGGGATTTGAGGTAAAAATATCGTTAAATTTAAGTTTATTTCTTTCTTTATTTAGTTGATGAAGGAAGTCTTTATTCGCCCATCCAAAGAATCGATGAGGAAATTTCCAAAGAAAGCAATTTGTTATGTGCCTGACGATTATGGATACGAGGTTTTTAGAACTCGGTTATCTTTGATCAAAGATCATTTAGAAAGGATCGCTGAACATCACGACTCCAAATCAAATGCTTCAAGCAAACTGCTTTATCTCCATCAACAGCGTTTATGAGCAACTCTACGTTTTCCTGTTCTTCTGGCTCAGTTTCCTCTTCATCATCACGTTTCTGATGGCCATTCATTACACGTTGTTTCTACTGTTACCACGATGGAGGATTTATTGTGCTTCAAAATATTTGCCTGTGAGTTTTAGAAATATGATTTATGAAACAAAATTAAAAGTATGAATTAGACTCCAAAGTCGTTGGCGATGGGTTCAGCTGTTGGACAAGCAAGCCCGGCACATATCTCATTGCCGTCAAATCATCTTTCGGAATATTTCATAAACTCGGTTTTAATGGTTGGTTTTTGTTAAACAACAAAAAGCAAAGCCTCTAGGCCGATGGTTGCATGGCACTGTGGTTTATAAAGGAGATGGCTGGCAATCAAGTATCAGCTGAAATGGCGCAATGCATTTGGAACTTTTCAGTGAGTCGGACAGTGTAAGGTTTTCGTATTTTAAGGTGTATTCATAAAACGTGATTCAATTAAAAATTTCAAATGTCGCGTTTTAGAGAATCACAGCCCATTCTTCCAACTCGAGGCACCCTCAACTATCTCGGCAATCACAGTAGCAATGTGTTGTCCCCTTCAAAAGTCGGCCTTTATCCGGGGGAAAAATTAGTCAGCTTGATTTTTATTTTTTGTAAATTCGATTTTAGTCACCTTCAAATCTTTTGACCACACGCTCAACTTCACTCATCCGCCCAATGGTCCGCAAGCCATCAACAGAACAAGAACAACCTTCAAGAATACCAACGACGACTTCCAAATCTTCATTTCAACGGACTCCATCTTCTACAAGTTCTGGAATTGGCGATCGTTTATCAAAGGAACAATCTTCCTACAAAAGCCCTCGCAAGTAAAGTAAATGGAGTCAATTGGCCGCTATTATTGTTTTTATTGTTATTTGTTTAATGTTTTCACTTTTGTATGTTATAGTTTTGCCAATGTTTTCAGTAGTGTCTTTGATTTGCCCCCTTTTGTTGTCCTTTTTGTTTCGGTGCTTTGTGCCTTTAATGAAAAGGCTTTTGTTGTCTATCCTATTTATTGTTTCGATTGTATTTGTATAGAATTTCTAAAATAGCTTTAGTTGTTTGTTTAATAAATGAGTGTCGAAAATTTGTTTATGAAAGAACGGTAATAAGTTATTACCCTAACACAGCGAAAATTTGAACAAAATATTCGAAAATGTCGAGAAATGCTTGGGGGGCACTCGAAACTATGGTAATAAGTTATTGGGTCACTTTTGATAGTACCCTTGGGACACTTTTAGAGTACTGTAAAACTATAGCAATAACTGGTGAATCACTATTGTTTTATGGTGGCAGTAAAGGCCAAGCCAACGATTGTCTTCCTGTGATTCTATTATGCACTAAAAATACACCGTATCCATTAAATTTTGTCGGGTATTACCGTAACTTGCAAGCGCAAAAGTGCGAGCGGAAAGTTCGCATTTTCATTTTTCTTTTTACGATTTTTCTCTGATTTGATTTAAAGTGAAAAGTCGTTATATTTAGAAAGAAGTCGCAATGCTTCTCTACGATAGGGTTGCCAACACCGCCAATTTTGCAAAGGGCCGCATCGAAAGCCTCTACAACTATGGTTTGTGTTTGGTGAATAAATTGTTAATGTTTTGTTTCAGGTATTGATTCTGCCAATACGGTTATCGGTTCTGGTCGTGATGTTGTGGCTAAATGGGTGCGCATCGTGGTGGGCACAGGTGTCATTTTTGGATTGTTGGCTCTGGCAGTAATCACCTCGATCATCTCTTTCCTTTGCGACTACGTCTTTACTCACTGGGTTGATTTGGACGATGTGACGGGACTTATCAAGGTATAGGTAGCAATTTGTATTTCAATTTTGAAACTCCTTAGATACCACTTTTCTTCTACAAGTTGTCAACGACCATTGTCGCTAGAGTCATGAAGATTGAATGGAACATGGGAGCCACGATTGAACAAACAAGCTCGTACGTCCGCACGGCCGTTGGCGACGCATTCACATCAGTGAAGC